GAAGATTTAGAAATTGTATTAAAACATGTTCTGAAAATAAGAGCACAGAAATACAGATATTTTTTGGATTGTTTCTATGGTAAATAACTTTTGTCGATCTAATTCTATTACAAGTTTTAAGTTCTTTATATTTTTCAAATAAACGAGTAGGTTTTTATATAAATGTGTTTAATTAATCGATGTCGTTGTATACTAATTACATATTGCAATAGTTACGTTACCAAGACCTCCTCTACGTTTCTGTTAGCCTAGTCTGTGGCGCCCGCCGCTACCTGTTGTCTTCTCCTCCCCTCTTTTATACTTTTTTTCTTTTAACTTAATTTCTTGCCTTGTTAACTTGATCACTTACTTTAACTTTCTTGGATTCTTCTGAATTAATTTTTGCTAGTTTTTTACCCACTAAGTACTTGGTGCATGTGGATTTTAGAAGTAGAATAAATAATCAGTAAGAATTGGGGGAAAAGATTGTTAGTAGTGGGATATAACAGTCTTATTGCTAGCAATATACCTCATCAGGTCGACCGCTACACGGTCGCCCCTGGAGACCATTGTGGTTAATTCTTGTTAAATTCGTCACGATGGGCTAACTTACCTGCTTTCATCGTCACCTAACATTCCTCATTGGTACCCCTCCAGCGTATACCTATAGCGCAGGTTACCATTTCATTATCACCGATTTAAAAAAAAACTGACCTGCCTTCATCCTAACCTATCATCTCTCACTGGTGTCCTGCCAGCGTATACAGATACCGTTACCATTCCAATCACACCCATAAAAAAAAAACTTAGATTAACTATTTATCATGATAAAAAAATAAATTTATAGCAATCGGGTTAGTCGTGTGGTCCCGGCATAGAATAGGCTACTCCTTCCTATCCCGTGGACGTTGTAAGAGGCGACTAAGGAGGGCGAAGGATGGGCAGCAGCATAACTCTTAAAGCATCTCTAAGGCCTGACTACGGTTTCCAATCCGCCTGCCAAGCGTGGCGACTACTGGCAAAACCTCTGAAGAGGGAGGAGGGTTATGTTCAGCAGTGGACAGTTAAGATGAGGTGTTAAGTTAGACCTTATTAAGAGCTGTTACACTAATTTTCCTCAAACAGCTCCCATCACATCGATCCATATCGATCCCATGTACAGACATCGTTTTTTTATAATTAATAGGATTAGTTATAATATCCTGAGGAGATAAAAAACATTGCTACAAAAAAATAACAAAAAAAAATTTAATTCCTATCACTGATAGGATTTTTTTAATGGCTGATAATGGAATAGTAACCCCGCCTGCGTTATCGGTATACGCTGGCAGGGCATCAGTGAGGGGTAATAGGTGAGAATGAAAGGACAGGTCAGTTAGCCCACCGTGACGAATTCAACGATAAATTAATCACGATGGTTTCCAGGGGGAATCGCGTGGAGGTCTACCTGATAGGGTAAATTGATAGCATGACTAACCTCCTTATTACTAACAATCCCTTCCCCCCACTGATAGGAATTAGCAGCGAATTTTTTAAAAATCATAGCAAGGTTACAGGCTTTTCGGTTTGAAAAAAGTCCGTTTTTATATAACAATAATAATTAATAGGCAGTTTGTTTCATAATGAAGTCATCAATCGGGTGCATGCCACCTTTTTTGTTCATCAATAATTAATGATCGGAATATACTTCGTTAATAAATTTATTTATCTATTTATACTTTTGCACACATTAGAACATGGAACATGGAACAGGGCGGACTTGGTGCCTGATGGCATTCTCTACCAGTCAACCGTTGCACTAAACAGAGAGAAACAAAAAAATTGTAAATTAAATAAATATTTTGAGAGATTACAACATATGTTTAATAAAATGTATTAAACATTTTAAAATAAATGAACATAAATACCCGTGATTGGGAGCTTTGACAGTAGTTGCCACGCTTAGCAGGTGGTTTGCCAACCGCAGTTAGGCTTTAGTGATGTTCTTAGAGGAATACTGCTGCCCATCCCTCGACCATTATGCTCCCTTAGTCGCCTCTTACGACATAGTACAATATATTACTCGAATAATTCTATTCTTCATTGAATACCTACCGCTTACAACATTAATCATTATAGATCGTTCGTAATTAATCCAATATGAAAATTTTAAATACAAGAACTGAACACATGCGTCGAGATAATAAATGCGATCCGGCGACCGTTAAAGATATTAATTGCAAAAAAGCCAACGGAAGGCCTGCTTGTTTCCCCGTGCGATTATTTGATACATTATTCATTGAGCATGCGGTAATTAGATTCATTGAAATAACTTTAGCGCCTCCCGTATTAAAAAGTAGTTGGAGTTTTTATTATTTTTATGTAAAACGTAAATAGTATATTATATAGGTTTGTCTACCGTTTAGTCGTTTATGTGCCCCTAGTACAACACCTATTTATTATATGCTTGTTGTAGGTAAAAGTTTAAATAAAAAGTTTGCCAGACTTGGTTTTCATTTCACTAGCTTTTTACCCGCTACTTCATACCCTTCGATTTCAGAATTAGAAATACCAAGGAAATAAAATAATAAAGACACTTCTAGAAATGAAACATACACTCTTATATTTTTTTCTTAAATGTCTCCCATACACATACATAGTCTAGATCATTTTTATTATTTTAGGAAGATCACTACAACAGAATTCTTTATTCTTATATATTATAGATATAGATGGAAAAAGATAACCGTCGCCTATAGACATGAGCAGTACCATGGACATAATAGAGTATACTGTTTCGCCCATGATACCCCCCATGCGTTGCCATTCCTGAGGACTCAGGTGTTATTCCTCTGTACCCAGCCATATCCCACCCTTCAAACTGAAACACAGCCATGCAAACACAACTGCTTCACGGTTGAAACACGAAGAGGACAGAGATGAGATGATATGTAGTCATTTCATCATCATCACTCAGTCTTTAAAACTTTTGTTCTCATATACCAATACGCTAAAAGATGCTTCATCTAATTGTACGTACGGGGGGAAAGGGATTGTTAGTAATGGGGATCTAATCGCCTCATTGCCAGCGATATCAATATGACCTTCACGCGTTTCCCTTTAGAAAACATCTTGGTTAATTCTTTATGAATTCTTCACTTGCCAACTGACCTGCTTGCATCCTCACCTATCATCCCTCACTGGTGACCCGCTAGTGTAGCGCAAGCGGGGTACCATTCCATTATTACTCATATACCATAAGTTATCTTCATTCTAGGTTCTTGAAGAATGTAAAAAATAAAGTGTCTACGAGTCTATCCTTACATCATCATCATCATCATTGTTGCCACGCTTGGCAGGCGGATTGGTAACCGCAGTTAGGCTTTGGAGATGTTTTAAGAGACATGCACTTGCCCATCCCTCAATCTCCCTTAGTCGCCTCTCACGACACCCACGGGAAAGGAAGGGGTGGCCTATTTTAAGCCGGGACCACACGGCAAATTCTTACGTACATAGATATATTTGTTGTTAGGTATAAATACTGTCTGCGCCAAAGTAGATTTAGTAGTAGCCCTAGAATTCCTGGAACGCAATAGATCTCGAGAATTCATTGAAGCTAAAATTTCTATAATTTGGTATCTACCGCTGCTTTTGTTTGGGGAATTATTATTTATGTAGCTTTTCGAGACTAATGTTGCCTAAAATGTTGTATTTTATTTATTTATTTAAGGCAAACAAACAGGTAAAATAATACATAATTATATACTTAAATAGTAATTTGGTAGCCACTAGAATTTGCACAAAATAAAATACAAGTAAACGAAACACAAAATTAGACAGTACTAAACAAAATTAAACAAATATAAACAAAATAAAACAAACAAATACTATTGAAAACTACAACAACATTGTCAATAATAATGCTCAGATTTTTTCAGAAAAACAATTTTATTTTTATTTATTACTAATTGACCTAGCAAACGTTATATTGCCCTTTACTGCCATCTACCGGATTCATTTTTCTTAAATGGACAAAAAACTATCATATTATCTCTCAAGTTGAAGCAATACATACACATTTGCATTATTTCATTAAAATCGGTTGAACAGGTTGGCAGATTAGCGTGTACAGATATCGTGCCTTTTTATATTTAAGAGGTTTATCATAGCTTTCTTTTACGTAGTTCTAAAGCTTCATTTTTTTTGTTAATTCCTATTATTATTGCTTCTGTTGCTTCATGTGTTGTACTAAATATTGTAGTAAATCTATTTTGTTACTACTTGTGAGCACCTATTAAATGGCTTAGTTTGTATTTCCTAAACTATTTTTTATTTGTAACCCTGTTTTTTATACAACTTAGAATGGCAAACAAGCTGACGGCCCACCTGATGGAAAATAACCGAAGAAAGTAACCGTCGCCTATAGACGTAAGCAGTACCGTGGACACTGTTTCGTCTAAAACGCATTAAAAACATGCAGAAATTAAAATACAACAAAAATATTAAAGTTATAAATATTTATCACGCAAAATTGTATGAAACGCTCTATCTATATAATCTAAGCAAATTAATCCGTTAATTGTGTAAATCTTCAAAACTCTGTTTTTTTTTCGTTGTAGGCACATGTGAAAGGCTTCTTAATATGTAGTAGTAGGGATAAAAGGGATTGTTAGTAATGGAGACTGAGAATTGCTAGCAATATACCCAACCAGGTCAACCTCCTCGCGGTTCCCCCTGGAAACTATCATGGTTAATTCCTGATGAATTCATCATGATGGGCTAACTGGGCTGTTTTCATTCTCATCTATCACCCTTCACTGGTGCTCCGCCAGCGTATCCCGTTACCGCAGACGGGGTTACCATACTATTTTCACCCGTCAAAAAAAAAATGTAGTTAGAAGTCGATTTTTTTTTATCGAATTTTATGCGCGTCCTTTGAATTTCTGCCTCAACCTTTTGTGTAATGGGGGCACATGACTTCAAAGTGTATTCAACAAGCAGCGATTACAACGTAATTAAATTTTGCATTTGTGTGCGTGCAGGTGGTGAGGTGGTTCTGCACGAGAGGCGATGCTGGGCGGGGCGGCGGGGGGCTCCCGCTCCCGCCCGCCCTCTGACCTGCACCAAGGTATGTATGCCTGGTACTTATTTTTAATGTAACAGTCCGATTTTTAATGACAAGAAAAAAAAATATTTAAAAAATCAAATAGAACCAAATTGCTACCGCTCTATATTTTTGGGATGCCGTAAAATGACCGCCAAATGGATTTTTCATGTTGCGGCCATATTGGTTTTATAACTACCGATACAGATAAAAAATTCCTTATAATTTTTTATTGCTAATTATTTATTTATTTATGCCAAAACGAAATAATATCTGCGTCCTATATTGATTTGTTTAATTCCCTGTGACACCACATATTGCAGTTTCTAATTGCCTCTTTTTCTTGCTTTTATGTACTTTAGTTCATGTGTACATAATATTAATCTTTATAATCTGTATCATTCTTTGAAGGGAACACTAAAGAGTTTTCATTAATTCATTCATTTCCACTCAATCTTCATGTAAATAGGTAAAATTATCATTTTTATGCCTATTACATGGATAACAAGATTCAGTTTTAAATGTTACATGAATGTATGAAATATAAATTAATCTTATCCCATTCAAAACTTGTTCATATCATTTTAAAACATTCTTGAGATATAAGTGCAAACACTGCTTAGACATTATTTGTAACCGACTTGAATAATCTAAATATATGTAGGTAGTATTAAAATGAGTTCATTATTTTCAACGTTCAAACATAAAAACAAACAGATAAACTGACTGAAAGGTTAAAATTGTTATTTTGGCTTCTGTACCGTGTGGACTGTGAATGATGTTAGATAGTTATGTAATATATATACAATAATATGTTTTTAACCGACTTCAAAAAGGATTCATTTTTTTTTTATATTCGTTACCTTATAATTCTGTCAATTATAAACCGATTTGGGGAATTCTTTTTTTATCTGAAAGGATATACTTATTGATTGGCCCCGTAGAAATTTTATCAAAATCGCTACAATTGTTTTGAATTTTTTTTTAACACATTCTTAATTATAGACGTATTGCTTTGACGTATTCTTATTTATAGACGTGATGCTGGCATTTCCCTTTAATCTAAGTGAAACAAAAAACAATGGTATGAAATAGATTAAAACGCAGACTGTTTTAATCTAGTTCGTATCCTTGGTATTTTTTTATAAATGTTTGTAACTTAAATCGATTGGAGTCTGTTGTGTACGCCAATTAATTTAAAAAAAGAAATCAGAACCGGTTCAGCATTTTTTTTATACCACCAAGGTGGCTAACAAGTATACGGCTCACTTGATGGTAAGCAGTTACCGTAACCTATGAACACCTACAATACCAGGGGCGTAACGCGCGTATTGCCGATCCTGAAGAAACTCAGTCTCTTGGAGAAGCCTCGATAGGGAGCTCATTCCATAACTTAAACGTTCGTGGTATCTATTTGAATTTAAAATATTCATTAACGAATATCGACGCGAACAAAATCGCGCGTGGAAGTTAGTTTACCAATAAAAATATACGCGCGACCACCTCGAAGACAAAGGGCGTTTTTAGAAGTATATTATGTGTGCACGGCACAAGTAGCGACAAGTCCGCTGTCTATATTTTGTGTATTTAATAATTTTGTTTATTTTTACCCAGGTGTGGCCCGCTTCCCGCTGTACTCTTTGTTTCCGACGCCGGGCGGCAATCGTCCAGCTATACACAAAGGTGAGAAATAGAAATTAACGAACTTGCTAGTGGTAGTTTTATACTAAGACAAAACTATGATCATTAATTGCGGACAATATTAGTGAAATAATTATTAAATATATTGTACACAATAGTACAAAAATACAATAGTTTTCACTACGGGTTATCAAGTTTATCGCGATTTTTGCTCCTTCTAAGAGGGTAGGCCTCTTCACACAGACAAATTAATAACCAATATAATTTATACACATGCAAATTTACATTGAAGTAGATGTAAAAACGAGAAGCGACAATTCTTAATAATTTTAAAATTGTCAATCGCGAATCCTACTATTTCATCATTGTGTCGCAGTCATACAAATAGGCCATAACTCAGTGAATGACTTGCTGAAAACTAATGCACTGATTTATACCTGTAGCCCTATAGTTCTACGATGTCAATGGTACAAAATATTTATTTACTTCCTCACTAATACAACGTATTATATTGGATGAAGAAGGACATAGATTATTTTGTATCTCGGGCAATAAATATATCTCTGTCACGCGCTTAAAGTCACGGGTAAAAGCTGGTCAGTACTGCTAAATTACGAAACAACATTTCTCACGATGATGTTATAAAGCTTGTCAGAATTTTAACCTGATATCGAAATTACGTTCCTAATTGGGCGATAAAATCATAAAAATTTTCTATTTAAAAATGTTTAACCTTAAAGGTTACTTGAATAAATATTTTGTTTATCTATTTTTTTTTGTTTTATTAGTTTTGTTCATTCTGACATACCACGTTAGCTTGTTTATTTAAATCAACCCAAGGGTTACCGGTTCCGTGGCAGATCCTCGGCGACAGGCGCAAACACACGGCGTACCTGACAGCCCGCCTCGCATCCACCGAACCAACATATTTTTGTTGTGACGTACTCGTTATAACACGTGACATGACTTATGAATATTGATCACTCCGCGAGAACTTGGGCACATATTTCAATATCGTAACACCAACGGAACGTAGTAGTGTTATTAGGTATTCTGTGTATAACTTATTTTTATAGTTTACACGTGAACATAGTAACAGTCAAATTACATTGCGCGTTCATGATATTTGAATACAAACTAGATGTCCGATCTGAACGCCAAAATCGGCCGATCAAAAACGCCTCACTGTGAGTTCTTATTTTGAAACGATTCTAATAGGACCTCCCTCGTATTTATCAATTCGTCTGAATTTTCTTATGCCCTTGTGACGCGATATCTTCGCCATTTATAAGTTGATTATAATTATTCTTCTGCAATCGGACATATTACAGAAAGAATGAATTGAGTTGATAGTAAACCATAGGACCAGAGGAGGTTTTTAATTCGGTTGTATTTTTTATGCCTGTTATCTCATAACTCCAGTAATAAACCGATTTGGAAAACTCTTTTTGATCTGAAAGAATATGCTTACAGATTGGTCCCATAGAAATTTTATCAAAATAGGTTCAATAGTTTAGTTTCAAAGTCGAAATAAGTGGTTTCGTCACAATTGAAATCGGGTTTATTTTCTCATTTTTACTTTGTTTTTACTCCACAGAATGATAGCTTCAGTCATCACAAAATCGAAACGAAATCTACGTAAAAGTGAACCCTATCAATAGATTTTGCTCCACAATCAAGTTATTATCCATTCCGCAAAATAGAACAGCCGCTTCAGACGTCACAGTTGAAATTGGACTAATATCCCATAAACTGTATTGATTAATTGCAAAAAGAATTGTTAAAATCATTTTAGACTTGGCGACGTGATAGCGTAACATAAACTCAGAAAAAATTCAGACGAATTGAGAACCAACTTCTTTTAAAACTCGTTTAAAAATATTATAGAATAACTGTCGCGAATGTTACCACACTCGAAGTAGTCATCTGTCCGGACTACTAATACTTGTTTCTTTTTTATTTTCATTGTGATCACCATCGTACGCCACATGTGCGCAGGAGTTGAGCAACTGCGTAGTATCAACTCCTTGTCGTTTGTAAACATATTATATATCATTAGAAGTACTGTGTATTAATCGTTAAAATACATAAGGCCATTGTACTGTAGAATCGTCTTTAATCCGGATGTATGATGTAATAAAACTTGTGGATAGAACTTGAAACAGAGCTCCGTGCTACGCTATTCTTTTTTTTTATGAAACAGAATCGCAAACAAGCTGCCTGTTCAGATGATGGAAAGTGGTAACCGTCATTTATAGACATGAGCAAGTACCATGGATATAACAGAGTATACTGTTTCATGTATTCGTTTTCATCATATTAAGCAGATTTTCCATTGCAGACAATTCGATCTTATGTCGCGAACCGTATGCGATGTCAAACATCCTGTGTCTGACAGTAAATCTGGTGAAAAACCCTCACACTAAGGATGGATCAGATGTTGTGAAGGAGAGAAACTAGATGCTTAAAACCTCGAAAGATCCGCGACAGAACGATTCGCTAATGTGGCATTTTTTGGTGCACGAAATGGATTTGTTTTCAACTCGTGTCTATCTCTTGGTTTACCAATGCGGGATGGCAAGTGAGGATAAAGTCGTTCAGTTGGTCCATCATGTTAAATTAGCCGGAAATTAACCGTAATAATTGATGACTAAGAGGGACCACTCGAAGGCCAACTGGACAGGTTATGTTGCTAGCAAGGGAACCCTCAATATTAACAATCTCTTTCCCTCATTAAAATGTGGCATAGACTTATCCCTTGGTCACTTTCCCATATCCATATCGTAAAGCAGAAATGATGTTGTATTTCGGTTTGTAGGGTCAGATTAGATAAACTGCTCAGATAGATAAGGCCTAAATAGTAAATGCAATCTGTGTGAGACAAGAGGCCAGAACCTATCCTCGGGAATGATAACGTGGGGCCGTGGATGGTATAATATCTTTTACATTAGAGTCGTCTATACGTGATGAAATCTCCATCATTAGCATGCTTTAAAAGAGTTTTCTATCTCTATTGTTATTTCTATGATAGCTTTGAGCCTCTTAATTACATAGACTGTCAAATTAGTTTGGAATGATCATAGTGTTTGTTTTTTTTTTTTCGATATGTTGATATCCATTTAAAACAAAAAATACAATTCCACTGGTAGAACACTATCTTAAAACGATTCAGTTTCAACTTTATATACGTACATGACAGTTACCACTGCCGTCAATTTATTTGCTATCTCCACTTATTATTGGCCACGGGATTAAAATAATTGATAAACAACGCCGCGGGTTTTAAGCAGTTACACAATAAACTCGATGTAACTATAGTAATATATTACGAGCCACATGTGCGCGTGAGTCGCCAACTGCGGAGTGACAGTATAATTAAGGTCCCACGTCCCTTGGGCCACGACGGAAATAGACTCGTCCACTCACGCGCAACTATTGCATGAGTGTATACAACGCGGGAATATTGGGAGATTTGCACATCTGCTGAATAAACTTTTAGGTAATCTACTAGGTACTAATGAGTTACCACGAATTGGCATCAAGTATTTTAAACGGGTTTTGTACGGATTCCCGAAGCCATATACATATTTAACGCACAAATTTGGACTGGCCTTTGAGATTGCTTGCTATCGCATTACTGAAGTAGTCCGACTAAAACAAGGTCAGCTTCATTTGCTTCAGCTTATCTGTGGCTCACTTGTTTACTACATGTTTTTGTGAATGGAATTGTGCAATTTATGTATATGTTTAAATTAACAAGTGACATGTCAGTTCACAGGAGTGGCGATTCCATGAGCGATAGCTCAGTGCATTAGTGTCTATAGACAATGCCACTTTCCACCAGTCGGGCCATTAGTATTCGTAGATTAGAAGTTTTATGGGTTACCTCGTTTTGGTATTTTCACCAGTATTAGATAATAGTAACACCGTAGCGCGACCACTTTGGTCTTCAGCATTGGCATCTGGAAATGAGCATGTAGCAACTTTGGTTGCTAGCGAATTGCTCGCAACTTCGAATTGTCCTATAGCCGTGTATACTAAGTAGTCAAGTAATTGGTGGTGAAACACAGGTCGTTTTTCTGTGTTAGTACATGGCAATAGAAATCAACGAACTGTTTCAAAATACTTTATGATTTTAAAATAGTACACGGCCAAAAAACGGCTAACGGCCAACTGATGGAAAGTGGTAACCGTCGCCTGTAGACATGAACAGCACCATGGGCATCCTGTAAACTAACTGTGTGTGTAATTTCTCTACCATATCTCACCCTTCAGACCGAAACATAGCCATGCAAACAGCTACTTCACGCCAGAAACACGAGTGGAATATAGATATCTATGCAGAAGACTTATCTCTTTGATGAAAAATATAAGTAGAGTCGCGAAATTTCTTATATCTGTGAGTTTGAGTAAGTATAACCTGTGTATTTCTTTGTGCAGTGACGGAGAGTCTGCTGTCGACGTCACTGTCGAGTTTCGGTGTGCCGACCCCGCCACCGAACTCGCCGTACTCGCCGCTACAGCTCGAGTTGCTTAATTGTTCCCAGCGAGTATTACTCACTGACAAGTGAGTAAACTGACAGCTTATATATCATGTTGGAACTAACAACAAGGAATTACACATAGAAGGAGTGATAAAATTATCAGTTCATAGCAAGCTAGTGTATAGAAAATCTTATACGGCCGTATAACCCTACCAAATTCAGATACAACCTGCTTGCATACTTTATACATAAACTGTGGCTAATATATAAACTAGTAATATAAAATTTGTTATTGTCAAATATTTGACATATCAAACATTTTCTATGCACTAGTCTGCTATGAATTGAGAAAAATAGCGACTGAAGGTGTACCTTTCGTCCTCTTTTATAAATAAAATAAAATTATATTATATTTTTAATTATATTTGCATAAGAAGAAACTATAAGATTTACAGTTTTTATTTTTTCATTTCTTCTATGTAATTGTTTGTTCTTAGTGTTGGAATCGAAACCATTAGCAACTTTTATGGAAATATTTTGTCAAAGTCAGAATGTTTTTCCCAAAAAAACTTACCGAACACGAACAAATAACTTTAAGCATGCGAAACGTTAAATTTTTATTCTCTTCTTAACATGATTCTTATGAATAATTTTCATTTCAGCTATCAAAACTTATTTATTTTTTTACTAGCGCGAATAGCTAACAAATAACAATGCTTCAATCATGACAAGGTGATATTACCTTCCACCATACACATAATCATAGAATAGACTATAACGCACATGGTATTTTTCGTCCATTGCTACTCCTAAATTTAACCCTTCTTTGCATGATTTTTTATTGGTGAAATAAATCAAGGTGATGATATTATAATTCATGTTCAAAATTAAAGTAAAAATGGTTGACAGCTGTTTTTTTTTCTGCAATGAACATTAAAAAGGTATCCAGACACTATCAACTTAAAGTGAACTTGTTCTTTTATATAATTTTTGGGCATTCAATGTTATGATGGAAATTTCCACCAGTATACAAAGAAGGGTTAAATAGGCGGCCCACCGCAGATGAAATCTTCGAAAAACTTTAAATTCATATATTCATTAACATCCTAACCTTTTAACAGGGAACCCAACAAAATGGAAGAGGCTAAGCTAGGCAAGCCATGCTTGCCTGACTCGCTCTGCTGTCCTGGTGACCGGCAGATCATCGACGGGCTCGCCGTCATGCAGCCACTAACCATAAAAACGGAACAAGCGAAGCGCTCTTGCAATAGTTGCCTGACGAATTCTCCTAAAAAAGTTAGTACTTATTTATACTAATAAATTAAAAACTAAAATCATTAGATAAAAAATGTTTTTTACATATTTTCCAGTTTTCTAAAGACGAAAGGAGAGTCAAACGAATGAATCTTTATTCTTCGATTGGTCTAACCGTTTTTTTTTATTGAGACTCAGAATGACGTACAAGCTGAAAGCCTACGTCATCAAAATAGTCCGTCTAATTTTTCAATTAAATGTGTGTGATCATATACAAATATTGGTCGTCTGTTTGTGTTTGTGAGGAAACTTCTTTAGTAATGGTCCGGTCAGAGAAGTATTGCTTGGTCGAAACCTTGTTAATGTTTTTATTTACACATTTTTTTTTTTTGTATTTTGGATGGGCGTGTCTTGTTATCGCAGTCTATAACTGTCTATGTGTATAGATATGATATATCAGCCAATAAGTAGATTTGAAATGAGATTTTGAAATTACAGGGTTAGAGAGGCATGACTTATTAGTTCTCTACGGAATAGCAACATATGGAGGGTATCATAGGCGACTCAGTACACTCTGTTGTTTATGGTATTGTTCATGTCAGTATTTTTACCATTGTAAGTTGCATAAAAAGCAACAAATTTTATTTAGGTCTGTCTATAAATAAAAATTCTTAAATACTTCATAATGCGAGGAATTGCTACGATTTAAATAAATGTTGTCTCTGGGCAGGGTTTTTATTTAAATAGTTTTCGTTACCAGAGCTCGACTCGTGCACGATCAATACTCACGGTTGTTCTATATTTAAAAATTTGGTTAATTAAAAATAGGTTGTCCACACGGACGGCGGGTGCAGCCGGACGAACCCGGTGACCTGGCTGGGGGTCACGGGGCAAAACGTAGTCCAGGTCAAGAGAGAGCCCCAACACGTCCACGTATCCGAACTGGTCGCTGTGAAACTGGAACAGGCGTCGCCGGGCAACAAGCCCGAGCACGCGCCCTCGATACCGGCATCTCTGAACAATGGTGAGTTATCTGTGTTGTTATGCGTTCCTAGTAGTCGCGTACGGTAATACGCGAGACGGCGATGGAGCAAGAAAGAGTGCGTTCAATGGGTATGATGTGTCGTCATATGACACGATAGGTCTCCTTTTACTTTAAAATAACTAGGTACTAGACCGATAATGTGGGTAATTTTCAATAATACTGATAAATAACTTAACAAAGAAATAAATGGGTTTAATTTTGAAACATAATTCTCGATCTCTACTAAATTAAAAATTTTTATTCGAACAACGAGTTGGTATGAATTATTGTTTTTATAAAATCAATTAGTTTTCGATCTCTCTCTAAAATTAAAATGTTTATTTTATCAAATTTAAATTAAACACCAATGGCGTCGATTCTGAGGCGCCATTTTTGTAAACCTATCTACTAACCGTTTCAATTTGATAGTTTCTCGAAATTATTATTTTATAGGCTACTTTAAACAAAATTTATAAAAATTTTGCCTTAAATCTATTAGAAATTTAGTTCATATTGGTCTTTAGAATAAAAATTTTGCTGTGATATCAAATTGATTCTAATTTTAGACATAGGTTTAAAACGGCGATTTAGAATCGTAAGACAATAAATATTTTATTAATACGCTTTTATTAATTGGTTTTCTGTTGTTATTGTTGCATTACACGTATATTACAAAAATCGTTAACTGCTTAACTAATGTTAACGCTTAAGACTACATACAAACTTCTAATGATCATGAAACTCTAGTTTCACTAAGGTGATTATGTTTGCGAATTCAATTGTGTACGTAGACTCTTGGCATTTTGGACTATTAATGGTATAAAATGATATTTTAATAAGTAGAAAAAAGAAATCATACTTGTGTAAGTATGGTGCGGAACTTCAAATTGCTACTACTTTAAATTTCGCTTGGAAACATTTGCTTTCAGCAATAATACAACCTTTATTGTATTTATATAAGTGTATGTGTTTGTAACTATTGTTTGTGTGCTTTTTTTTATCTGATTTATAAGTAGTAGGTACAAGTTTTATTCAATCATACAATTTGCCATTTGAAAAACTATTGCACTATATTAGCTTACTGCCATTGGTATAAACTGTAAACTCTTAATTTATCTCTTAACCTAGTATTTAAATTTGATAATTTCGTAAATAAAATAATTTCATTTTCTGTTAGCTCATCATAAACTAAATTTATAACAATTTTCACTTAAATCTATTATAAAATTAGTTTACATTGGTCCTTACAATAAAGATTTAGTTTTGATATCAAATTAAAATTTTTGTTTTAAATATTGCTTTAGAGACAGCGCCTTATAATCGGTCCCACTAGCTAACTTAGCTAGCTAATAAATAGTAGTACTCCTAAAAACTGACTACAAATTTATTTGATAGTAAATCAGCTTTTAGTAGACCAATAATCAACATTAACCTATGAATAGATGATGATGTCACTATCATAATTGTTTATTGTTTTAAAGACAGTGCTTTACGCTATTGGCTTCAAACTTAATGTAAATCTGCCTTTTGTCCTAACTGAACCGGACCCTCGTATGTTAAATAATATCTAGACATAATTTTAGTTCTCTTTTATTTTTTTATGATTTCCTTTCTCAAATTTTAAGTATTACATGTCTTATGACCAGTTTCGAGGTTATTTGTACTTTCTATAACACAAAAAATCAATTAATTTGAAAATTTTATGAAAAAATGCTTAAAGTAAATTGCAATAAATCATAATCATCATAATTTTAGTTTAAAATTTATGATAAAACGATTGTATAGTTATATATAATTGATATGGATGCTACAATGGATAGTGTGTTTATTCAGATTATATTACAGGTTCAATTCCCGTTGGTATTGCGGTCGCTCGGCAGCGAGTCGGCGATGCGGGCCTACTCGCTGCCCTCTCGCAGAAAGACAACCAACAAAGAATGCACGATATCGGTATGTCTACATCACTATTCATTGACATAAGATAAAGATAATGATTTCCCCTCACTACAAGGAAACTCGTTCTCTTTCTGTCTGAACCGAACGAGCCGAACAACATTCCCACTCGCTCGCACAATCTTATCGTTGTTATTGACAGTCACGTCGATAGTGCTTGCGCCATCGATAGGCTGACAACTCCTCGATACTTCTGTAAGCCTGGTACTACTATGTATTTACCGTGATGCGCTTGGTAATGAAAAAAAAAGTAAATTAAAAGCTATCGAAGGTCAAGTAAGCGAACGGGATGATAGATTAGAAAAAATCGCGTCAACTGTATTGCGTTGCATTAAGATCCATTTTTGAGTGATATTCGCGAATTAATTACAGGCTGTTCTAATTTTAAGGTGTTTATTTATGAATTGTTTTATATATTGTTTTTTTTTACTAACGAAAACTGAAAAATATTTGCGTAAATCCATTTTATTGTTGTTTGATAGTTGAATTGTGTTTTTATTGCATTAAACTTCGAGATCGGTCTCGTTTTGTATATTACCTTTTACAAGCGTGTGTGTCGACATCGCTTGTTCGTAATATATGATTTAGATTTCTAAAATGCCTACATAATTTATTGTCGGTTGATAAGTTTCCAATTAAGGTATAATTACATTATAGGCTATGTATATTCATGAGGCGATTATGGACAGAATTTGTTGGTAAACATTTTTCAACTGTTGATACCATGCGTGAACAATGCAAAAAAAAAACTTAAGTATACTTTTGTTATAGAATCATTTAGGTACTTTAAATTTATGCGAATTATTTTTATATATGTACTATGTATGTTCATATACAATAACTATCTGTATTTTTATTGAAATACAATATTAGACATATAGGTTTATTCACGTTCCCGCCATTACGATTTTTAGGTTAACTTCGAACTCATTGCATTATGAGCCCTGAGTCATAAGCATATTACACAGCCGCGTTGTAAATAGTACTGATTTACCTAATTGCAACTTCGAAAATAAAATGTGAATAACACTGATATAAATAAATAATGGTAAATTTGCAATGATTTATTATATTTTTTGTTTAATTTTATCATAAGACTCTCTTTAAAATTTTATACTAAGAAGCTTACAGTAATTTTAAAGTATTAAGATTTTCGTATATCTCTATGTATATAATAATATATATAATGTAGTTTTAAAGTCATAGAAGGAAAACTTTTATAAATTTATTTAGCCTGAAAAAAGATCAGGCAATTGCTATGATTGTGTGGTACTTTTTTATACCACGAAGATGGTAAATAACCAGACAGCCGTTTCGTAGTAAATTTATAAGTAGAAAGTACTCTGTTCTTACAGATGAGTAATTTAAAGATTGTCCTCCAAAGAAAAATAAACCAGTTATATTGATTTAAATAGTAAACCCCTGAACCGATTTCGATAAAATTTCTATGGGACCTATCTGTGAGTATATCCTTTCAGATAAAAATAGAACTTTCCAAATCGGTTTACGACTGACGGAGTTATGAGGTAACAAACATAAAAAGTCACAATTTTTATAAATATTACAATAATACATAAATTTTTCTAACCTATAGGTTTCCCGTAACGTATATTTTTCCTGTTTTATATGAACGAACTACTCAACCATATTAAATGCCTACATAATTGCGGTTTTCCTCACTCCGCTGACATTTTAATGTATAGTAAGTAATATTCCATTTGTGTGCAGCTTTTGTAATGCGATTTATGGTGTTAGTATCCGACAATTATATGCTAATAAGAAATTACGTATCATCGATATAGCTTAAAGATAGTATAGTTAATTTAAGTAAACTCGTATATTAATACTGAAATTCCATAAAAGACATTTTATATTCCAAATATGAATAGTTAATAATATAATTGGCCCATCAATTCACATTCTCATTTTCCGTTTCCAATTTGAGAAATATTCTCCGACATCTTATTATGAATGTCACCTTTTTCAAGTAGGTAAAATTAACTATTTTTATTTTAATTTAGAGTATTATAGTCATATATCTTTTTGGGTTCCGTACCAAAAAGGGACGAAGAAACACTTACGATGTAGCTTTGTCAGTTTATCCGTCTGTTACAGCGTTATATCTTAGTAATTACTAAATATATCGACTTGAAATTTGGAATAGTATTACATATTGTTGGCTCATGCATTTTGCAATCGAAATAATAGATTTTTTTATATTTCATGTTAGGAGTTCCTTATAGGAATTTTGAGTACTAATGGAGTACTCAAAATTTTAAAATAAACTTACTAGTCCAAGTGGTATTTGTACATTTTAAAACTAATTTTTGTTTATTTTATGCTATAAAGTTTTTATTAGAAAAAAAAGACATTTTACTCGTAAGAGATTATTTTACGAACCTTTGGCGAGCGAGTACAACTTACACTTGACTGTATATATTATATTAAGAATGCCTTAATAAATACAAACATGCTAACTCTAGATTAAACCTTTTGCAATTTCTTACATTAAACTTTTTATTCATAGCCTAACAGTAAAGCTAGCAAAGTAAATAATTTACCGTCTAGGAATTTAAAATGATTCTTATAAAACTTATTACGCAGTTACAAAGGTTAACCGCTTATGGTTAATCGATTACTAACGCCTGACATTTATCTTTACTATTATAATAACATCTAAAGAATTCTAACCGCTCGATCCTTCAAGGCTTCGGGTCGAGCGGACGCAATATTTCCGTTTTTGTCGTTCAAATGAAAGTTATTGTAGAGACATGACGGCGTCTGTATTCTTATGGCCACCATATATTCACCTCACGCTTTTTTTTAATTGCAGCTTTTTATCATTACTTATGCTTGTCAGGTAGAGGAGTTCGGATTCGGGTATATTTTTCGAGATGGGTATTCACATAGTTTCAGATTTGTTGATGTTTCGATTGTACCATGCCTATAGGTGACGGTAATCGCTTCCATCAACACTTTAGTTTTTTTTTTTTCATTACAAGTAACATGTAAATAGAATGTAAATAAATATTTCGATTGTATAATGTAAATTATTTCAAACAGTATGTGATGCATCAGTATAACGTGTGAAGAATTTTCAGTATTTTTTTTATTTATGCAACTTAAAATTTTGCAACCGCAAACAAGTTGACGGTCTACCCGATGGGAAGTAGTAACCGTTGTCTATAGGCGTGAACAGTGCCACAAACATAACATATAGACACATATAACATATAACAGATACCATTCACGCATTGCCATTCCATCATTGAGTACTAGTGTGTTATGCCTCGGTACCCTTTAATTTCATTGCCATATCCCTCCAAACCGAAACACAACTGCTTCCCGACAAAAACACGAATGGGACAGAGGTACTCCAGCAGACGAATTTTGGACAAAGTCTCCCTCTGATGTTATCCCCCTGTTGTATTAGAGAGCATGCTTCAATTTTTATGCCGACTCCCCTACCACTATTACTATTCTAGGTTGTAAATTAACATCATTTAACTAAACGGATACTGTAAAAAGTTGTCTGCCTCGGTTTTCATCTATATTTGCATTTCTATGCTGAAATTATAGGCATAACGCCGTAAGGCCTAAAGATCAGCGACCTAAGAGCGTTCATATTGTATTTTGTGAAGTCCATTTTGCTGTTCATATCTGTTCATTCTGCAATGGTTACCAAATCCCATAAGTTGTCTCGTATGTATAAAACAATTTTTTTATGCTGCTTATGGCAATCAAGCTATTGACTGACGCCTATAGACATGAGCATTACTATGGACATAACAGAGTATACTGTTTCGCCCATGATACCCCCCACGCGTTGCTATTCCTGAAGAGTCAGGTGTTATTCTTCTGTACTCTGTAAACTCACTGTCATATCCCACCCTTCAAACCGAAACACAGCCATAGAAACAACTGCTTCACGGTTGAAACACGAATTGGAGAGAGGTGTTCAAACAAACGACTTTTGTACAGTCTTCAAATTAAAGTCATTTGTTGGACATTCGCCCTAATTATTGTAAATCTATAATAGTATTCGTGCAATGCATAATTAAGATTACATGCAACACGCGCTCTTTATTGCGAATATTTATTTGTCATTTTAATGATCATCCAGAAGTTATTTATGGTCGTGCAACTTGCATGAAGCACGAATATACATATATCCTCTTATTCATTTTAATTTTTTCATATTAGCCGTTAATTGTCCATTCCTAAACATAGGCCTCCTCCATAAAGGGCGTTTTACCAGTTGCCATGCTTGGCAGGCGGGTTGACAACCGCAATTAGGCTCTTGATGATGTTTTAAGAAGAACGCTGCTGCTAATCCCGACCATTAAGTTTCCTTAGTCGCCTCTTATGACACCCACGGGAAAGGAGAGGATGACCAATTATATATGAGGACCACACGGCTTTATTCATAAAAACACTAAATGCCTAAAACCTATGTATTTTAACTATTTAATTGTTTTATTATGCACTAATGAATAGAATTGAAAGAAACTGACAAAGTTAAGTTTCTTAGCTTTAATTTGTGTGAATAAAAAGATTAAAATTTAGAATAGACCTGACAGACTTTGCTTTGTCTAAATTTCAACAATTCTTTCCTAAAAGCTTTAATAAAATCATTAAGAACTTAAAATAAAAATTGCTAAACCGGTTCATCTATTCTCAAGTGATGCTCTTACCAGCGAACACGTTACCAACAACACCATTAATATTAATTTCCGATTTGGAGAATTGGTTTAAAAATCAGTTAAACACTTCACCTGACCGATTGGCAAGCGAAGTTAAATAACATTTTGTAACGTGCTAAGATCAAAGAAATGTAATGAATAATTTGTCACATCTATTTTGCATAGGAGTGCCAATTTCTGTCATGTCTAATATTTACTCGTACGTATAATAAATTGCCGTGTGTGTCCCGGTATAGGATAGACCACCCCTTCCTTTCCCGTGGGTGTCGTCAGAGGTGACTAAGGGATCTTATG